CTCATCTGGGGGCAGGCTGCTGCCTGAGGTGCTGTGCCTGCTCTCATGGCAGACTTGGCAGTAAACATGGGCAAACACAGCCACTTCTCCTGTTTCTTTTTCTACCATCATATATCAGGTAAATTTACTTCCAAGCTGGGCAGCTACCTGAGGCAGGAGGATTTAAGTCTGAGAACAGCTTGGGCAATTTAGCAAGACTTTACCTCAAAATCAAATGAAGCCATATGATGTTATTATTGTGTATATCTAAACTGTACCAATAAAATTAATTAATTAGAAAAGAAAAACAAAACCAAAAAACTCACAAAGGGGAAGGAAGAAGAGAGGAACAGAGCAGAAAACAGCATGCCCCAAGATGTCTGGTATTCTAGTTTCCTTTGAGGACTTTGGTTTAATGCAGGCTCTGGATTTTTGCACCCCCCCCCCCAAGGGTTTTATACTGAATTCCTCACTCGTCCATGCTATTCTCTGTAGGAGAGTCAGAGGGGTCTTCCTAAGACACAAGACAAATACAACACTCACGTGTTCTGAAGGCTTGAGACGTTCCCCAGAAATCTTAGGTAATTCTCAACCCTTTAGTCTTCCCCTATATCCCTGCTGCCTGTAGGGGGGGAATTTGGTGAAAGGTCCTTAGAACTTTGACCATCCATTCCCTGCTACTCGTTCTGGTCCTGGGGTTTGAAAGGAGGCCTTGCGTATGTTACGCAAGTGCTCTATCACTGAGTCACTTCTCCAGTCCTCATCAAATTCATCATGCAAGCTGAGAGTCCTCGTGTTTGACACTTTGACTTGGCTCATTCTAGAAGAGCCATTAAAACCCCTCTTCTCTTGGGCTAGGGATTTAGCTCAGTGGTTCAACCACCTGCCTCACAAGCTAAGGACACGAGTTCAATCCCCGGTACCAAAAAACCCCTCTTCTCTCTGAGATTAATCATTTTATATCTACTGTTTTATTTTTGGAACGACATATAACTGTGGAACATAATTAAGTTTTGTCTTCAAAATCTTGGTCCTTGAATTTTTCTACGTAACATGAATTTCATACAAAAAATTCAAAAAATTATAACTTCCAGCATAAGTGGGTTAGCTCAAAGTTTGCTCTTTTCAGTTCTCTGAAATCAAAATGAATTGCTCTCCCTTGGTGTAAGATTTGCGTACAAAATGTGCACCCAGGGATTTCTTTTCTTTTTTCTTCCTCCCTCCTCTCTCTCTTTCTCTTCTCTTTTTTTTGGTGATGGAGATGAAACCTAGAGCCTCGGATGTCCTAGGCAAGCTCAAACTCTACACCAGTGAGGCCTCCCCCAGTACTGCCCTAGGACTGAACACCGGGACTCCCCATTTGGCTACATTCCTCAACCCTTGTTTAGTTTCTGACACAGTCTCCCTGAATTGCTTGATCTGGGTTCGATCTTTTGATTCTCCTGCCTCAGTCTCCTAGAATACCGGTGTTACAGGTGTGGACCACCACGTCAGGCTAGGATTAAGTATTTTAAAAAATAATAGGAGAAACCCGAACATGTTCACGTACCGAAAGGAAACAATTAGCAGAGGGAGAGTTTTCAATTTCAAATAAGATTCAACTGCAAATAAGAAAAGGCTTTTTGCGTGGCCCTCAAAACAGGTGGCATTTCTTGGGGCCTGAGGGCAATGCCTATAAGCCAGCCTCATGGATCCTGAGCTTTTCCACATTACGCCGGCTCCTTCACATCCTGCAGAAGCCATTTCTTATGCCTCTCTTCATCTCTGTGCGCTGTCTTCTCCATTTTAGCACAGGATGCCCTTCCTGCCCCTACCCAGCTGTCTTCATGAAGACCTACTCCTTCCTCCCACCTCATATACCTCGTCCAAGGATTAGCGCTCTATGCAGCCTACCCTTTCTGAATTTACAGCGATCCTCCCGCCTCGCTTCCAGAGTGCTGAGATACACGCGTATCCCACCACGCCAGGCAGCCTACCCTTTCTGAACCCTTCAAGAGGTCCCACCTTGTCTTCCATTGCCTCTTTCTCTCCTTTCTCCTTCAGTTTCCTGCCAAACGTCACCTGCTTGCGCCTGAGGGCCTTAAATTTGCTGTGCGCTTCATTACCCAGAATCCTAAGGGGCGTAGAAGAGACCACCAGCTCAGTAGGACGGGGGTAGTTTTCGGGCGGTGCGGCGTCTGTATCGTTAAATGGGGCGGAAGTTCCCGTGAGCCCTTGCCAGTCCCACCCTATCTTATGTGAACTATGGGATATTCTGATTCCTTAAGGTCTCTGGTTAAGAGAGGGACGACCTTTTCCCTACAGTGGCCATGGAGGTAGCGTATTAACGTCTGCCCCTACAGGCTGGCGGCAAGGGCAGATAAAGAGCTTCCACGTTTTTGTGTTCTACAGAGTTGATTTTGGACAAAGTTAGCTGAAATGTCGACGCGGGGCGGGGCGGGGCGGGCGCTGTGGTCCGGTGTTGGAGATTTTCGTATCGCCACGTTTTGGAGAATGCAAACGTGGCAAGGGCCACGTTGATCTGAGTTTCATGGACTGAACTTTTTTCCAGCAGGGCCACCGCCGCAGGTTTTTGGCGTTTGCGGAATTCATCCTGTTTCCGGATCCTCCTTGAGTCCACAAACCTGAAAAGTTGGGTAGGTTCAATCTGCTTGCCTGTATCTGGGAATAACCCAAGGGCGCTACACGTAGATGGATTGTAATGCGACTACGAGGGAGACGTGACTGTTCTGATGATAACTAGTAATAGGAAGTGCCGTCAGAAGCGGTAACTGACGATATTTATACTTGACATGACTGCTGTCAGGTAAAAGGGCCGAAGACCAAGACCAGGCCACAACAAGCCTTTATTAGGGGAATAGATCTGCCGGGCTGTCTCTGAACAAAGGAGAGACAAAAGCAATATGGCTGGGGCGCGAGAGTCTTTTATAGAGACTGGGGTGGGGTTTGTAGGGGCAGAGGTGGGGTTGAGTGAGGTAGTGACTAGGGAATGGAGGAGTCCACGTCACTACGTGGTAGGAGGTGAGCGAGTATTAGGTTACTCTCTAGGTGGGAACAGGGGCATACTGGGAAGAAGGGTTTATTCTTTGGTGGGAGCAACCATTTTGGCATGATGTCACACAGGGGAGGGGGCAAGGCACCATAGGAAGAGGGCAGCTACTATACATAATAGCTGCTGAGGTGGTGGGAGACCTATCAACTGCAGTTGCTAGAATTTATACGGATTAGTTGAATGTTACTGCCAGACACTACTCTTGAGTCTTTGTTCTTAATCCATGTTTCATATGGCGGACTCACTGCAGAATATTGAAGAGCTGCATCCCAACGTTGGCTGTGTTTAGTATGTCACTTTTGGGGATGGAGGTGTAGCTTAGTGTTAAGGGTGGTAGCACACTCAAAGCCTTGTGTTCGATTTGCAGCACTTGTCAAAAAGAAATATGTGAGGGTCGAGGATTTAGCTCAGTGGCAGCGGGCCTGCCTCACAAGCGCAAGGTCCTGAGTTTGATCCCCAGTACCGGAAAGAAAAAAAATGTGATTTGGTTGTAATTTAGTTACCTGAGACATAATGAAGTTGGTGTTTTAGTTGTAAATTAAACATAGCATGTTCCTGTCATGCCTGACCTGAGTGGGACCCTCTTAGCAAACATGCAGCCCACATCAAATAACAGAAAGGTTCTAAACAGGGCCGTGCTGCCCTAAGTATGCAGAACAGATGGCCTTAAAATTTAGGACAGAATATACAATCTTCCTGGTGCCAAAGATTATATGCACACCTGCACTGACAGTCCTTGGAAATTTGACCCCAAGCATTCCATCCCAGATTCCTCAGGATTATAATCCCATATCCCCAAACCCTGTAAAAACTTTGCTTCTTGTCTGGCCAGCTGTTGATATTCAGAATTTCAGCAGTGTCTATCCAGACAGAAATGAATCCAGCCTTTTTGCTCCCACAAGACTGTCTCATGGTCTCTTGTTGGTAACATTGTCTTTGCAGTGATGTGGAAACTGAAATAGGAACTAATAAGATGGCTGCTTAAGCTACAGTTACACAACTGCATTAAAAATTAGGCCTTTTTTGCCCAGATGTAGTTCAGTGGTACAGGGTGTGTTTTGCAAGAGGCCCTGGGCTCAATACCTACTACAGCAAAGGTACATATATGTATTTGTGTACACATATATTATCCATATATGAACTAAGTGATTTGCAAAAACAAGTATAAGTGGTATCTGGTGGCTTTTTGCGGTACTGAGGAGCGAACCCTCCCAAGGTCTTTGCACTGAGCTACATCTTCTGCTTTTAATTTGGTTTCAGACACTGTCCATGTCTCCAGTTGGAAGAGTACTGGAGAAGGATGAGGTCTTTTGACTGCTCTGATGATATCTAATAGGAAGTGCCGTCAGAAGCGATAACTGACGATAACTACTCCTGGCTGACTGCAGTCAAAAGTGTGTACCAGTTGCTGTTGTTGCCCAGGGTTAAGTTGATCTGAACTGTGACAAAGTTTCTATATTCACTCAGGTTGCAAATTGGCAGAGGAAACCAGCAGCTTAGTATTGCAGCCTGGAGCATTGGCCTTGGAACAGGTAAGCTTTGGTCTCTGGCGAGATTGGTGGTTGAGAATGCCTAGCTATTTGGTCAGATATTGGCAGTTCCGTTTGATTAACAGTACGTGGAAGTGCAGCCCTTGACCTTTATTGACAGGATCCTGGAGGAACTGGCTAGTTCATAGGGGCAGTGGAACTAAGAATGTGTACTAGAAAGTGGTTCCCATTCTATTGGGTGTCTAATCTTGAGCAAATTATCTTTTCTGCTCTGAGGTAGTTTCCTCATTTATGAGAGGTAACAGTAGTAGGTTTGTGACTTTTAAAATGCACTACTAAGTACAGATCGTAACACTCAGGAAGTTATTTAGGATTTGTAGATTTAGTAATTTACAAAAATGCCCCTTGTGTAAAGTTATAAGGGCCAGTGTTAATAGGATGGACTTAACAAAGCTAGTGGCCTTGGAGTCTCTCATTCCTTTCCTGTTCTGTAGCCTTATGTTGCTGTGCCTTTGTTTCCCCAGGTTTGGGGAGCAGTGCTGGAGTGCAGTTTTAGAGCTGGCAGCAGCAGCAGCCCAGGAGGAGGTAAGCCTTGATCTGCACAGTGATTCATATTGGAATGACTAAGCAGCTAGTTGTAAAAATTGATTTTGAAGAAAAGGATATCAAGTGATGAAATCACCCAAAAAAGCTGGAATTACCGGCAGATTGGTAGTGGTGAGCATATGGTTTTCTGATGGTATCTTTTATGTTTTGTTTTGTTGGGTTTGGTTTTTTTTGGTACCAGGGATCGAACTCGAGTCCTTGCACTGCACAGCAGGCGGCGAAACCACTGAGCTAAATCCCCGGCCCCTCTGATGATATCTTTTATGTTTTGAATGACTGTTGGTGAGAGCAGAAAATGAGATTGAAATTTAGTGTCTTCGCAGGCTAAGGACTCAAAGCTGCCATTCATTCAGTTTGAGAACCTAAATGACTTCAACATTTGGTACAGAAGAAACAAGTTGGGCATGGTGGCACACGATGCAATCTCAGCAAAAGTGGAAATCCCAGAAGAAACAAGCTTACCTCCAGCATCAGAGGCCTTCTCAGCAGAACTGATGTATCTGGCAACTTTTTGTAGGACAGGCACATTTAGTGTCATGCACTAACCTGAACAACAAACAGGAGCAGCTTCTATGTCTTTGGATAAATTTATGTTTATAAGTGTTGTTATTAAATAGTATTGTAATAACGGATGGTCTTTGGTATTGATTCTTAGAAATATGTATTTGGAGAAAAAGTTAAATTTGACTGCTGTGAGTGTTAGCATTCAAGTTTGTAAACTTCTGATCAGTCTGGTCATTTTAACTGTAGACCTCAGGGGCAAAAATTCAGAAGCATTTCAGGCATCCATCCTTGATAATAGTCCCTGCTGCCTTTGTCCCTTGAAGCGTGTGATGAATGAGTTGGCTGTACACGATATTTAGCCAGAACCATTAAAGGACATGTCCAGCCTCCATCTTGTTGTCTTCCTAATGGGAAATATTGTGGGGGCTACGGGCCAGTTCTTGATAGTATTACTGCACTCTGTTTTCCTCCATATTCTGTTGCCCATGAGGTTTTGGTTAACCCAGTACTAAATCTGGTTTAAGAATGGTTCCCAGTTGTGCTGGACTAGGGATTATATCTAGAAGGGCTTTAAAGAAGTTGGTAGGGCTTTTTCATCAGGAGGATTGGGTTAAGAATTGGTGTAGGAGTGCTGGGGATTTAATTCAGTGGTTCTGCCGCCTGCCTCGCAAGTGCAGTGTCCCAAGTTCCAAAAAGTAAGTTGTTGTAGGGGGAAAGGCTTTGCTGAGTTGGGCACCAAGGGCACCTCCAGTGAGGCTGC